CTTGACGCCATTACCGGCAATGTTATTGTACTGATAAAGGGTAACGTTTATTTGGTTAACAGGATGTGGCTGAGAAAGACTTTGTGCAGCTGACTTATACAGATGCAATTGAAATTCTTCTAAAAGAAAACAAAAAATTTGAATTCCCGGTATTGCATTTTCTTTTTCGGATTCAAATCCATGAAGAAACATTCTCTTGCATTAGCTGTATAAAAGAAAAAGTTTCCGGTTAATTGAAAAGATAACCGTTTCCATGCCATGAATATTCCTTGCTTAAATTTATGCTCGTTAGCAGGCCTTTAAGAGAGAATCCTATGACGAGCTTATACGGAGGTCTATAACTCTTGGATTCTTTTGTAGGTGAAATGGGGATGTGATTTGCAAAGCGAGCATGAACGATACATAACCGAACAAGCATTTAACGGATGCCCTGTTATCATCAGGGACTATCCTAAGGCATGCAATTACTCTCTATCACGCTTCTCTGAGTCAGGATTTTATCCGCTTTCTGTTTTTAATGCTGGAATGTAAAACTCTCAGGAGATCAAGGCATTCTATATGCGGGAAAACGATGATGGGAAGACTGTAGCAGCAATGGATATGTTGGTACCTCGGGTAAATATTACCTTGTGCTGCACTCTATATTCGTTTTTCATTGGTTGGTAAGTTCATTGAAGTTCCGTTTCTTGTTAGGTTGGTGAACTCATTGGCGGAAGCCAAAGGGAAGAGCGACTCGATTTTCTGGAAAATCGTTTAGATGAGCTAAAGCTTAGTAAGGAGAGCTACTGGTGGTATCTCGATCTGCGTCGTTATGGTTCAGGTTAGGGGTGATCCTTCTCACAAACCTATAACAACACCTTCTGCTCCCGGAGAAGTTTTTATCATGGTTTATGTTTAATGACCATTTCATTGCATTCACCGTTAGAAAAAGGTTTTTTTTTTTTGTTTCGATAAAACCTTAAAGAAACGGTATAGTTCGGACGCTTATTTATGAATCAAAATCGGTTTGATTATCATCTGGCAGTTCCACACGCGGGGTTTGGACTAGGGTTCGAGAGGCTGGTGCAGTTTGCGACCGGAGTTGAGAATATAAGAGATGCAATACCTTTCCCAAGAACACCTGGTTCTGCTGAATTCTAGTGTTGCAACAATCATGTATAAGTTTTCTCATATTCTTTCTTTTCCTTTCAATTTTATGCTTTATACAATTTGATCCTTTGGTGATGACCCTTTGTAACCTTTTTCCATCCATACTTTGTCATCAAAATCTCTTCTTTAAAAGTATTATAAATACGCTGCATAATTTTAGAGGGTATTTAAATAATTATATTTAAATTGAAATAAATACATTTGATTTAATTTAATATAAATTTTATAAATTCATTTTGAAAATTTTCAAATAAAATTTAAATGATAAAACAATATCTTGAAATTCAACTAATTTGTTTTCTTTTCATTCCACTTGATAGACCCCTTCAACAATTTACAATATAACTATGCAACGGTGCCTGTTCCGGTGCATGTTGCTTACTTGCTTTATCTTTATAATAGATAGGAAATTAAATTACCTTAGTGGTTAGAGAAATAGCTGTTATCCTAGAGATTTTGAGTTCGAGCACCAGTAATTATCTTTGTTAATTTGTTAAAAGTCTTTAGAAAAGATATTATCATTTGTAATTACTCTATAATAATAAAAATATTTATTAATAAATTAAAATTCGTATATTTTTTTTATTAACTTGAACCCGACGGGTTCCGATCTAACCCAATCGATTCGGGTTTTTTTTTTAAAAAAAATCAGATTTGGGTCGGATTCGGGTTTAGGGTGAAAAATACCTGATCCGACCCGAAAAATATATATAAGTTTACCTCATATATTTAAGAATAATTACAATAATATCATTCTATATATTATTTTTTTTCTATTAAATCATTATTTTTATTGAATAAAAATAATATTTTTTTTTAATTATTTTAGGTCGGGTGAAGGATGTAAAATTTTCGGGTCGGTCGGGTTATCTGAAACCCGACTCAAACCCTACCCATGCCCCTCCTTATATATATATATGTATTGTTAAATTGATATATGGAGTAGGTAATTGGACCTATTCTGGATTACTTAAATAAAATAAACTCCGATTAGCTAATGCAGTCGATGGTGTCAGAAGGGGAGGACGACCAAAGAGGAAGTGGGTAAACTGTTTGAGATCTGATTTAAAGGCCCTTACCAAGGATATGACATCTGATAGGAAAATATAGAGACTTAAGACCAGAGTGGTCGAGTAGTATGGGTCAAAGCCATAGGGTGTAGCATCTCTGTCTTCTTTTTAATGCATTTGTAATAATTTCCATGACTTCTACTTTTTATACGTTTCTGACATTGGAATTTATGAATGCTTAGAACTAGGGTAGCGGAGTAGTGTTGCCTTAGTTTAGGTTTTAACCCATTTGATTTTATTCTTTTTCGTAGCTTGTTATCACTGACTTCTGTGTATCATTCTCTTCATGTTTCCTCTTTTTAAATTTATCTAGGTCTTACGTTTCTGTCTACATGTAGGAATTTATTTACAGAGATTACTTCCCATTATAGGCGCGCATATAAAGACCGCATAAAAAGAAAAGATTGTTCAACTATATATTTATTTATTTATTTATACATGCATTGTATTTATCCCCCACTCATTTGGGTGATTCTGCTGTGCGGCGCCTAAAAAACGGCGTGACATGTTAAACAAGTGACCGGTTAAAATTTAGAACAGTTATGTTATATCATTTAACCGGAAATATTATCAAGTACAATAATATATTAGGTAGCGCTTATATAATGTAATAGATAGCTCTTATATTGAACTATTTTCTAACTAAACAGGTATATTTAAACCAGTAACATTGCAAATTTACTTATTACATTATAATTATCGGTTTTGATGTATTTGGGATTAATACAATTTTAAATGTATCGACACTTTATGCATGCACCTCGTTGTGCTTTCATTTTGGGGAAAAAGTATCGACACATATTTAAAGAGTGTTGATACATAATGTAAACCTATTTGCTAATTAACCAGTATATTTTTACCGGTTACATTGTAAATTTACATGTTACATAATAATTATCGATTTCGATGTTTTTTAAATCGATAATTTTCATAAATGCATCGACACTTATGCGTGCACCAGTTTGAGTTCTTCAATTATAAGTTTATTCTTAAAGAAACTAAAACTGGTCTAACTTTATCCTATGGAGATAATAAGAGTATATCATAAGTTTGCATTGAGAGATGTTTGTTTCTGGGTTTTTGTTCTTTGAGAAACTAATAACATGGTGGGTTTCCCAATGTTATTCTTTTGTTACTGTAAAGTTTTTGTTATTTTCTTACTGGGTTTTGCTTAAAATATCCAACTTTTTGTATTAAAAAATAAAAAATCTGAAATAAAAATGATCACACAAGCACACTTTTTTACTACCGGTTTTTTCATTTCGAGATCGATTTTGTCATATTTTTACTTGTTATATTGTTATGGATCGATACATTTTTATAAAGTATCGACACTTTATTGACGTTATAATTTCTTTTCTTTTAAATTCCAAAAGTGTCGATACTTATAATAAAGTATAGACACTATCAACATATCCGGTAGCTCTTTACCGGTTTTGTCATTTCGAGATCGATTTTGTCATATTTTTACCTGTTATATTGTTATGGATCGATACATTTTTATAAAGTATCGATACTTTATTAGCGCTATAACTTCTTCTCTTTTAAATTCCAAAAGTGTCGATACTTATAATAAAGTATCGACACTATCAACATATCCGGTAGCGCTTTACCTTTTTTGTCATTTATATACCGGTTTTGTAATTTTTTTACCTATTTTATTGTTATGGATCGATACATTTTTATAAAGTATCTACACTATCAACATATCCGATAGCGTTTTACCTGTTTTGTTATTTATAGATCAGTTTTTTCATTTTTTTACTTGTTATATTGTTATGGATCGATACATTTTTATAAAGTATCGACACTTTCAATATATCTGGTAGCGTTTTACCTGTTCTGTCATTTATAGATCGGTTTTGTCATTTTTTACCTGTTATATTGTTATGGATTGATACATTTTTATAAAGTATCGACACTTTCAATATATCCGGTAGCACTTTACCTGTTTTGTCATTTATAGATCGGTTTTGTCATTTTTTTACATGTTATATTGTTATGGATAGATACATTTTTATAAAGTATCGACACTTTCAATATATCCGGTAGTGCTTTACCTGTTTTGTCATTTATAGACCTATTTTATCATTTTTTTACTTGTTATATTGTTATAGATCAATATATTTTTATAAAGTATCGACACAAACCGACAAGCTAAGTTTGTCGGTTGCCAAATTTTTTAATATTTCTTCATAATTTCCACCTATTATATTATTATTACTCGATATTTCTAATAACACTAAACTAAATTTATCAAATATTTTTTAATGTATCTAATAAGATTATATATTAACCGTATATTAGTCCGTCTTTCCGAATAGAATCCCCACTCATTTGCTTGTTCTGATTAACCACTTGAACATCAAAACCAATGTATTCCCAAGTCTTCTGTTGTCCCAGTCTTGAAGTTTTACATGTGGCCACGTGTATTTTTCTTAAAAAATTGAATCAAAATCGAATTAAATATTATAAATAATTAAAATCGAATTAAATATTATAAATAATTAAGTTAATTCGAATAGAAACAATAACATATAAACTAAAAATCAAAATGAACTAAACACATCGAATTATTACTAAAATCGAAACCGAATAATACACTTTGATAAATCATTCAAATAATTACAGTTTTTCATGAACTTTCTCCCACTTAGGGAAAGAAACGTAATGATTATTACCCAGAAAGACCATATGCACATGTTCCATCAGTCCCTGCAATCAACATTCTGATTCCTAATTAAAACGAAAACCAAAGCAAAAGATGGTCTCAATCTTCTATCAACCGGTCACACATGAAAACATCCTGTGACTCTTAAACCTCGTAAGTTTTGGCCCCGTCGGTGTCCGAGACCCGCCGGTAATAGTGATATTTCCCGTGGACATCCGCCGACGGTGACCATGACGGTCGATGTTCTCCTCGGATACCGGATTACTATTCGATTCCGTATAGAAATGAGTTTGACCCGGAGTCGGACTCTGAACATAGAAATCAGCAATGTTGTAAGGTTGAGTTGCGCCGGACGAGAGACACTCATACCGACGGCGGGTTTTGGTCTTCTTCAGCGTTCGATAAACCAAAGGGATAAGACCCTCCATTTTCTGTGACAGAAGAGAAAAGAGAGATGGAGAATTTTGGTAGGGTTTGGTGGAGATGAACCCATCACTGAAGACTATATATATATATGAACGGTGGTTTTCTTGTGGGGATGAATTGGCAAGTCTAGCACGCCATTTCAAGTGTGTTATTTGACTTTAGGATCATTGAATATTTCATACAAATCTGGTTGTTTAGAAACATTTGGTGATTCCAGATCAGATTTTACAAATAAAATACATGCGTACACGAGAACGAACCTATAATTTTATGTTACGATGAAATTTTAAAACGAACGAATTTATAAAATTTTAAAAGATAAAAATATATTATCATTAAAATTTCTATTTTCATCATTAAATTTTAATTTTTTTAAATTTACTCTTTTAACTTTTGATTTGTTTCTATTTTAATCATTCTTGTGTTAAATACTCAATGACATTATGATTACACACTTTTTTTTAAAAAAAGTATTAAATAATCTCATTTTTCCCGAAAACCCCTAATTTTGAATATTCTTTAATTTCTTGACAATGAAATATCTTCCGAATTTCAATAGTAGAGAAATGGAGAAGAAGAAATATCTTCCGAATCGAAAAATAATCCGAATCAAATTTAACCCGATCCAAAATTAATTCGAATCAAAAGCAATCTGAACCAAAAATCTATATATATTTGATTAGACTTGTAATCGAATTAAGCCTAAATGATAAGATTAACTAACAAGAAGGCATATTTTTACAAGAATATATCAATAATTCTATATATACTTGATCAGACTCATAACCAATCCAATCCGAATTGACTTGATCTAAAGGTTGACCCAAATCGAAAATTGATCGATCCAATATTGACCCGACCCAAAATCTAACCGATCCGGTATTAATCGGACTCAAAAAATCAACTGATCCAATAGTCATCCGATCCAAAAATTGACCCAACCAATTTATCATACACTCGAACTAAATCCGAACCAGATCCTATTTGACCCGAATAAAATTAAACTAAATATAATCCAAACCGAAATTACCTGACCCAAATTCCTCTAACGTACGTTTGTATGCATTTTAGTGTTTACCTTCCTAATGAAAAGATTCCCCCCAAGGTAATAACAGAGAGGACTGCAATGACGGTTCCAATGGGGTTGAACATTGAGACAAGAACTGGTCCTCTCTTCATCATTGCCCATCCATTGAAGCTTAAACATGCTCCGCCCGTTTCACCTCCCTGCCCATCCTGATTCGAATACATAAATATATCCGATACGGGTATCGGAACACAAATATTTCAATAAAAATGAAGGGTGGGAGCAACATTATCTGAGACATGCTTTTAGTATATGAGAGAGCTTACAAGTAGACAAAAGTAAATCAGGTCCTTGACACTAACGAGGGGCGATCTCCAATGCAAACCATGATCTTGAACCAACTGAAGCACCGCGGTCACGATCATTCCATCAGAGAGGTTATCGCGCACAGGGACATCGGCGCGGGCAAGTCTACCATTGTTGTAGCCTGTAAAACACATCATTTCTTAGCTAACAAAAAATAAGCAAAAAGGAAAACACCATTGTTGCTTAATCATATATACTTGCAAGAAAACATTGATTGGTAGAACCAAGACAGCTGCAATGAGGTACGAACAACCGAACCGCATGATGATGATGATTAGTTTGGGAAGGCATGGCATCATCTGGTGACACGGTGGGCACCTAAGACACACAGGATTGTGCCTGCAATCTTCAATTTACTGTATAAATAACTTAGATCAACTTTCTCTAACCTGCATTAAAAAGAACCTATGACCTCAAAAACTTAAAATCGACGAGGACGGAACTAGGATCAAATATCGTGTTACTTAACGTCAAAGTTACCTGCAAGTCCAAGCAATGATGAAGATAAGGCCTGGAGCAAGGTTTGGCATGGCTGTTGCCAGTGCAGGTGATGCTAGATTTATCCCCTTGAGGAATAGAACTGGAATAGACTTACACTGAAACAAACATTATCATATGTTATTATCTGATACATTGAATTTACTGGATGTGTGTATATAACTTTACTGTAAATCAATGAAAATAATTTTACAAACCCTGCAAATGAGATGAACAGTAATTGAATCATCAACGTCGAAGCCAATTGTTTAGGCCATTTTCTCCTGCAAAATCAAACACCAAAAGATCATGGCCGACAAGCTTTTGCAATGATAATAATCTCCAGAAAAAAAGAGGAAGAAAGAACCTTTCAAAATAAAGAGCAAAAGGAAAGAGAGAAATGAAAGTTGAAAAGGAGAAGAGAATAACAATGGTGAAAGGCTTAAGGCCAAGCGTCATTAGATATCCGAGCAACACTGAGTTCGCCGCCAAAAACAACTGCACCCTCACCAATCCCCCTACTATCACCGCTTCTTTCTTCACCTTCTCCATGGCCATCATCGCCATCTTTAATTATTTTCCCTCACTTTCCTTCCTTCCAAACAACCCCTAAGCTTAAACACACACACACACACATATATAAACTGTATGCACGACCTTTTTTCTTCACATCTCTGAAACAATAACACAGATGATCAAACCAAACCCTTTCTTCTTTAAGTGAGATTAGAATTAATATCCATATTTATTAAAGTTAAAATGTTTTTCAGTTAACAAACTTTCATGAACGAGGCTATGCACGTATCTCTTTCTATCGCTTATGGATCACTTAGCTAACGTTCCTCCTACAAGTCTCCTCTTCCGAAGAGGTTGACGATGATATGATACTTTCATCTTTTTAACGTATTTTTCCTTTTATAGCTTTAGTTTTTTTTTTTTGGATTTTTATTTAGGGTAAACTAAGTGTTTAGCACTTATACTATTAGTTTTTGTTCAATTTAGTATCTAAACTTTCAATTTGTTTCAAAATCATATCTAACATTTAGTTGCTATTTCATTTTAGTACCCACCGTTAAAAACTTAATACGTTTAGTACCTAAACTATCAGTTTTTGTCCGTTGTAGTACCTAAACTTTCAATTTCTTTTAAAAATCATACATAGCGTTTAGTTTTTGTTTCATTTTTTGTATCCACTATTAAAACTTACATGTTTAGTACCTAAATTATCAGTTTTTATTCATTTTTGTACTGAAACTTTTAATTTTTTTCCAAACTCGACGTTATGTTTTTAACAAGTACTAAAATGACACAAAAACTAAACGCTAGGTATGGTTTTGAAAAAATCAAAAGTTTAAGTATTAAAACATATCAAAACTAATAATTTAAGTGCTAAATGCATAGTTTACCCTTTTATTTAATAATAATAGTATCACGTCACGTTATTCCAAAATTAAATGTTTATTTTAAAATTTTAATTACAAAGCATATTTTTATTTATTTATTTATCTTACCATATAAAATTCTTTAATTTTATTAAAAATAAAAAATATTTAAATTACAATAAAAGTTTATTATCACAATCGTAAATCAAACGTATAATAATATTTTTTTCTATAATCATTGACGTGAGAAATAAGTCACTTAAGATCACACAAGAACTATACAAGAAAAATGTTAAAATTTAACAAAAGAAATTCGAATAAAAGGTAGATACGAAGAAATCTGATTACATTAGTAAACAAATCACAAAAGGAGATCAAGTTATTAAAGGACCATCAACAAACCGCAAATTAGAGTTAAGCAACGTAATAAAACTATCTACAAACGCAAATCACATATCCAAATCTAATTTGAGAGTCCAAAACATGAAAAATCAAAATGATAACAAAATAAGCATCATCTTAATCAATTAAGATGATATCAAATCCATCATTGAGAAAACAATAATAAGCATAATGCCAAAAATAGCCCCCAACGTTTATCGAAATGGTCATTTTATTCCCTATTCTTTTCTTTTTTTTTTTTAGAATATTTTGACCCCTAGCGTTTCACTTTGAGGCAGAAAACTTCCTCTACATATGAAAAACATTAGTTAACATATTATTAACGCTCCAAAATATGAGCCTTTTTAAACTAAATTGAAGCGTTAAAAGTTAAAATGCTTCAGAAAAAGAATAAGGGACAAAATGATTATTTAGTGAAATGTTAGGGACATTTTTTCCCCTAGAATGAAACGTTGGGGGCAAAATGCTCTAAAAATAGAATGAGAAAAATGATCATTTTGGTAAACGTTGGGGGATAATTTCGACATTATGCCAAAATAATAATAAAAATAACGGTGAAACGATCAAAAGCGTGTCAAAAGACAAAAAAAAATGTTAAAAGAAAAGAGGAACACATGTTATAAAAAAAGATTCATTAAAAATATGAAAAAATAAAAATATAATATAATAATAATAAAAAATTAATGAATATTGACGAACGACGACCAACATGAAAATTAGTTTTGCCGTCAATCACAAAAAATAAAGAAGAAAAAGGACAAAGGAGAAAAAGAAAAGGAAGTTTGAGTTGAAAACCTTAAAACTAAATAACATAAAACCTGAATAAAGCATATTTTAGTTTTGTGGTAATATATTTAATAAATAGGTATAAGAATAAACGAGTATTCTGAAATCATATTTAAAATCATTTAATTTGAGTATGATAATAAATATATTATTTTTAAATAAATTATGAAATTATTGCTACGAGTGTTTATAATCGTGTATTCATATTTTTTAATACTTGTATTTTTCAGGTAATTGAATATCCGTTACCTAAAATTTTTTAATTCAAAAAATCAACTCCTGTCTTGATATATTAAAGTCAAAATACTTATATTTTTAAGTCGTCGATATTCTATTTATATTATTTTTTTTAAAAAATCATATAAAAGTATAAAAATTAATTTTTAAAAATACATAATATATAATCCACCTAGAATGTAAAAATTCAAATTATATAGTTCAAAGATAAAACTTAAAATTCGAAAAAAAATATATATAACTGAATTTATAATATTTTAAAATTTAAAAGATAAACTTAAAATCCAAAAAAATAAATAAACACAATTGATTACTTATGAAGGCT